CCCACCCCCACCCCATCAGCAGCTATTACCCCCCTTTACCGATAGCATCCCCTGATATTCTCAAACTAGACCGCTGGCTGGTACAATGATGACAAAGAAAGCCTTTTAAAAATGGACTGTCAGAGTAAAATCCTTTTTGAAGGAAACATTGAATACATTTGACTTCAAATAATCGGGTTGAGTTGACTTTTGTTTCAACGTATAAATGCTTCGTTTTGTTGATCTTTTACGGATTTAAAAACAAATCTCACAAAAAAAAAAAAAATTGAAGGTGGCTAACTGCTGCAATCAAAATGATGGGCCCCCGTTGAAAAGTGCAATCATTCAATGGATTTAAATGGCTCTCTTGTTGGTTCATTACACGCTACTCTTAAATGATTCGTTTGGGTCAAATAAAGACAAATTACAATGGGGAGTGAAAAACAAGAGAAATTGTTATATAGCAGCATGCAATTCCTTATACCATTTATCCAGGAACCATGAACAAGGTTGTTTATGAGATACAAATCCAACACGAAAGTATAGTGCAAATCCAATTAAACTCATTAGAACGCAATTCAGCTGCATTATTTCTGATGGAAAATGGAACAAATAATATTTAGATAGGAACAATCGTTCTTCGTTGCAATTATGGGTTACCTTAATCACAAACAAAATCACCACCAGTAAAAAATAAAGAAAGAAATGAATAAAAAATGTAAATGCTATGCTTGTGTTCCATTGACACGGCTGGATGAAGGCTTTGTTTCTAGAAATCCAAGCTTTCATTGGTGTTCATCCCAAAACATTAAAATGATTATGATGATGATATATTGTGGAACTTTTAACATTAAGATCCTCATTTCAAATTGCGGCCGTATTTTGCTCACCAACTGATACTCGAGTGAGCCGAAATGGGGAGAACAAGGCCAGGGTGCGTCGAGTACTTTTGCTCGTGATAAGCGCGCCACCTAGTGGCCATTTGCTGTTATAACGCTTTCACAGCAGAAGACGATCAAAGGCCATCAGTTGTTTTTAACCCCAAAATAAATAAATAAATGAAACTGTGTGTGTTTATACAAGGGATGTATTTCATGTAATTATTTTATAATGCAGATATGGTCTAGATGCCGAGACTGGAACATGTTGCTCGGGTCTTTCACCAGAGAATGGACATTAACCCGGAGCGACACAAAATCTGACAGTTGTCTAAAAAGCAACAGTATCGGCGAACCTAAACACTATCAAAAGCGCTAATTTGCATTTCCATCTTAAAATCGAATATTTGCTTCCTAAAATGGCATTATTTATTCACAACAGCCTACTCATCCTTGTGTGGCATTTTTCTTGGTTGCACTGCTTCCAGCTTCTCCGATTGCTTTTGTCCAATCAAGATTTCAGCCACTGCGGGTCGCCATTTCAATTGTATCTACTCGAGGCCTTCACAATCAATAGTGTTGGCTGACATAACCAATGTCAACAATGGGACTGTGTCTTGAACTAATCCAATTTCAAATTTGCCAAGCTAACATAGTTGTATTCATTTGGGGCCGGATGAGTTCGGTGTTTGTCATTCCGTCCACAATAAAAGACATCTCTGTTGACCGAGTGCCATCGGGTTCCAGTCACCCCCGTCACCTGCCTGAGTGGGAAGTGTGACACCGTCCCCATTTTCAGAGCAGATACTAGGGGCAAAAGAGCCCTAAAATTAGAAAGGGGAGCACCCGGTCTCTACCGCTGCCCCGCAGCAGTGACGCTCATTACACCCTATTTATACGATGAACGCACGACCTACAATGATCGGGTTTCTGTTATTCTTTGTATCAGTAAGCTGCCGTTTAAGTGAGTCGCCCCTATGCTTGTGTTTGAGTGAAGACATCGGTGAAGACTCCACTACTAACACAATGAAAATGCTGAAACGAGCATCATTTTGTGGATGAGGATATGTGTGCCAGTGCAATTTTAAGCCAGTTAAAAGAACATACGTGTCCTATGTGAGTATAGAAAAAAAGCAGCATAGATGAATTATAAAGAATGAACAAGAGATGCGGGTAGGACGGTGGGCGACAGGTTAGCACGTCCACCTCACGGCGCAGAAGTGCAAGGTTCGATTCGGGCACCAGCACGCCCTTGTGAGGATAAGCGGATTAGAAAATGGATGGATGGATGGAAATCAGAGATGCAATGACCACACAGAGTTGCTGCTGCCAGACTGAATTTTATTCAGACGTTCTCTGACACACACACGATGTTCATACCGGCGAGAAAGAAGAAGGCAGCAACAGTCTGTGGCCTGAAAGTATGTCCATTTTAGAGCATTTTGAGTCGGCATTCAACTCGGTGGGGCTTCCAGCCTGGACACAGAGCAAACATTCAAGAGAATGCAAACAAAAGAAGAGACGATTCAAAATAAGACTGAGATGCAAGAGTGGCCGCAAAGCCATGGATTCAGTTGGAGAGAATTGCGTCTGAGGTTTAAGTGGATTTTAAACAGTTGGACACAAACGAGTACCGGGAAAATCAGTTGTCCGTGTGTCACAAGTGTCGTGGATGCCGCATACAGGGTACATGAAAAGCGACAGTTTGGATGTTAAGGCATTTCTAGGAACCATCTAAATAACAAAAAAAGTCAATAAAGCAGTTCCATTATTAACCTGGGAGAAGCCAATTTGAAGTCATCCAGTCGTCCAATTGGTTCACAGTGAATCTTAGCTTTAAATACTTGCCAGACCACAACACCACTTTTTTTTTTTTTTTTTAATCTTCGTCTCTCAAAATGACCTGAGGAATTCCAAGTATCAAAGCAAATTATTAGCATGTGATAATCGAGAATGATGTTTGTGGCTTTACATGACAAAGAAGCTAAAGAGACGCCCACGGTTGGCAAATTTGGAACAGCGAGTTCAACATCCTTCCAAAGAGAATGTCATCAAACAGTAACCAACCAGAACCAATAAATAGAGACAAGCAAGTGTGGCTGGTTGGGTTTGCCGAATCATCCATTCAGAATATCACAAAAGCAATATCGATCCATGGCTTTCAACCGTCAAGCTTTTTGTTGAACGGGTGCGGTCATTCACTCGATTCACCCGTTTCAACAGTGACATATTGTAACTTTTCTTATTAAATGTTGGACTGAACATTTGTGGTGGGACAAAGGAGGAGAAAAGCAAGCAGTGGGTCAAAAGAAGTTTTGTTGCAAATTAGTGTCATCAGGAGACCGTAGTGGAGGTCAGTGCAGCTCGATAAAAGCTTCCATCTCTTCGGAGATGAGTCCCCTGTAGGGAAGTTTGTGCTTTTCCACTGCACGAGCCGCCAGGCACTGAAGGGTGATGTAGTTGAGCGGGTAAAGAGCCGGGTCACCCATGTTGTGCTCGTCTAATAGCTCGTAGGGCGCCTTCTTCTGTGCGTTGGTGGCATCAAAGTGCGCCCCAGCCTTCATGAGAAGCGCCATGATCTCCGGGCAGCCGTTGCAGGCCGCCACGTGCAGCGGCGTGTTGTTCTCGCAGTCCCGCGCGTCCACGTCGGCGCCGCACTCCAGGAGAAGCGACGCCACCGCCTGGGAGGGGAATCGCCCCACCGGGTAGCGGCCCACGGACGTGGTTTCCTTATCCACGGCCATGTGGAGCGGCGTGAAGCCGCAACGGCCGCGGGGATTTAGCTTCAGAAGGCGGTAGACCGTGTGCTTCTTCTGGTGCTCCTGCTCAGGGTTGCACTCCAGCTTCTCCAGCAGAAAGATGAGATGGAGGATAATGGCGAGCGCCTTTGTGAACTGAGGGGCCTCTGGCGGATTGTCCTTCTGCGCCACGGCTCGCTCCACCTCCCGCACGCTTTTACCCAACACCGTCATCAGATCGTGGAAGGTGACGCGTGTTGACAGGGTACCTTTGGCGCGGTCTTGAAGGACGAAGGAGAAGAGCTCGGCGAAGGACAAGAAACTAGAGGCCGTCATGGGGCTGAGTGGGTCCAGGTTGCTCTGCTGCATATCCAAAGCGTATTTCCACAAGCTGATGCATCTTTCAAAATTGCCAGAGTCCGCGTAGACGGCTCCCCTGTAGCGGATGTAATAGGAGGTGTCCGGGTGGGATGGTCCCAGGATGCGCTCGCGAACCAACAAGGCCTGCATCCTCATCTCGTCGGGGTCTGTGATCAGAGCTTCCAGCTCCTCTGCACTGTTCACCTCCTGTGCACAGCCATAGGCAGGAACGGGGGGTCCGGGTGGGGGCTTGGTCAGGCACCCTGCTTTTTCCCCTGGCTGCCTCAGCTCCATGGCCCGTCTCCAGTACTTCATCGCTCCCAATAGATCCCGTTTTTTATCCACAAAAGTGGCTCCGAGCAGCTCAAGCGCATCTATGCGTTCCTCCCTGGAAGTGCGGGGCTGGTGGGCAAGGTACTCCACAATGTTGGTGTGTCCCGTAACACTGGCAGCGAGGAGAGGGGTCATCCCGTAACCATCCCTTTCCATGCGAGCGCTACACTTTAACAACATCTTCATGATGTCCAGGCTGCCGGACTCGGCACAGTCGTGGAGGGCCGTGTTTCCTTTGACGCTTTTACGGTTGACATCAGCACCGCGGTCCAGGAGAAACTTGGCGATCTCCTTGTGGCCCTTGTAGCAGGAGATCATGAGGCAGGTGTGGCCGTGTCTATTGGCCACCTCCATGTCAGCCCTGTGCTCCACCAGATAGCGGACGATTTCCAAGTGGCCGTCGAAGCAGGCAGCTCGTAGCGGAGTGGAGTTAGTTAGCGTCGCGTTGTTCACCGAGGCACCGTGTTTTAAAAGGGTCTTGACCACCGGCAGGTGACCGGCAGCCGAAGCCGCCCACAACGGCGGCGCTCCTTCGATAGTCTCGCCGTCAAAGTTCACCGAGCCCCCGAGTTCGACGTTAGCTCTACAATGTTCAAGGAGGTAGTCTACGACCTCTAAATGTCCATATCGCGACGCTATCAAAAGAGGAGTACCTCCTTGTGTTTTCTCTTCGGCTAAAGCTTCGAGCTCTTCGGGAGTTTTGTTGCTCAGCAACTTCTGGATAAGTTTCAGCTTACCATCTCTGGCCGCGTTGAACACCGCCGTCGTTATATCCATTGTTAAAGGCTCCGTGTTGCCTCACAGGACATCAACCCCATAACCACTAGTTTACCACCAAAAAGGTGAGTATGGCTTCAAAAAGAGCGAATTTTAGTCCGGGCTCTGCTTCGAGCTCTCATCTTTCTTCCATTTTGAGGGCGCTGGCAAGATGGCGTTTGTATTGCTTGACAGCTCTGTGTTTACCGTGGCCGCGTTGCATTGTGGGTGACGCAGTTTTAACCACGGAGGGGCACACACCGTGTCCCTTGATAAGAAACTACAGCTCCCACAATGCAGTGGGATTAAAAACCCATCCAGTTGATGGGTTAATTTGGATTTCGAACAATCAAGGTACACTTACTGCCTTCGTGAACTGAGACCTGTCACGTCAATGCGACGTTAACAGTGGGGGAACCCGACGCTCCCTTCGATATGCCACACTGACGTTCAATTTGGAAGCGTATATGAACAGTATGTTTCGTGAAAAGGTATTCGGGTAGTAAATATTGTAGACTCAAAGGCTCATTCGAAAATTTGCCAACATGAGTCATATGTTGACGATATACTGTATTCCTATGTTTTGCACATAAGCGAAGACTCCTCACCGTACATTTTTTTTTAATTTCTTAAACCCGTTTTTATTTCGGCTTTCGTCTCCTTTTGTCTACAATTCTGTTCCAGCTCAACACAGTGCTTGATAAATAAAGTTGAGCTGAGAGTCGAGTATATCGAGTACACTGTATATCCTATACCGACAGAGAACGCTAGTATACCTTTTTCAGATGTGTTTTGCTATATGCACATCATTTTCTCTTATACTGCGGCAGTATGTGGTCCCCAAACTTTTTTCACGACACAAAAAAATACCAAGACTCAGTAACGTTTAGGTCTAAATGATCATCAAAAAAATCTCCACAGAGATTTGTATGAGTATGATGTTATTCATTCACATTATGCACACTGTGCTTCAATATATTGTAAGACAGGAACGTAACTGTACTTAAATACTGAGTCAGTTAAAATATATAGCACATAAAAGCTTGATAAAACATGTACCCACATATTTATTCAAGATGCAATGCAGATATACTAGATTTAAAAGTCAAATACCTGTACCACGAAATTGTCATTGACTGTGATTCTTTCGAGTTCCATTCGAGGGCGCCCACGCACCAGATTTTGGGAATGACTTTATTGTATTCCCTTTGAGGCCATTAAAATCTCTAAATTACCAACCTCAACATACCGTAGTAACTACTGTTGGCAGTTCTCGCTGCCCTTTACGCTGCGAGACACATCTCAATCAGATATTTCTCTCCTAATATTAAACAGGGAGTTGGAATTCACAGAGACAATATTTTGTGCACATAAGCGAGATTAAGCCTCTCAAATGTCTTCCAGCTTCCACTCGACCCACAGGATCGCTTTTGTAGATTTGTGTGTTTGGAAAAAAAAAACATGAGCAAAACCTTTTAAATTCATGAAATAGGCTAATACGCGACAAACCACTTTTTCAAAGCTGCAATTCAAAACTGACAGCAAACATAAATAAATCATTGTTCTTTGGAACATTGATGAACAACAACAAGTTACAGCAGCCTGAGGGGTGTTACATTCAGTAGCCAATACATTACCAAGTACGACGTCTGTCAAAAAGAAAGAGGGCATAATTCATTTGACAAAGCACAGTTGATACAATATCATTTGGCATCATTGCAGGAATAACGATCCCATGTAAACTAGACCATTACAACTCATTGAAAACGGTGAGACACTGTGCAATTCAGATACACAAACAAGTTTCCACTTTTTTTTTAATGTAAACTGTAGTTAAACTGTTAAACTGGTTTTTGGTTTGGCTTTTAGTGTGCAAGATAGGATTCCTTTCACCCTCTGAAGTGGAATGAAGGCGGTAAAGGAAGGGCTCTGAAGATGAAGTGCTGCTTGTTTCTCACCAAAGTCTTGACAGGGATTTCCCTACAGGCCTGTGAGCAGCTCACTCAGCAGCACTTCCCTTTCTCCAAGAAGCACGTCTCTCTTCAAACTGGTTCCCTTGTTCACGACTTTGATCTTCATGGCCAGACTTTTGACTTGCGCCTTCGGCAGTGAGTCAAAAAAAAAGTCCTCGTTAAAAACGGGATTCCTGCTATTCTTTATAATGGTGCTTCTCTGTTTCTGTTTCTTGCCGGGTTTCAGGTAGAGCGCCACGCAGCAGTTGATGCTCTTCAGGTCTGTCTGCTTGCCATAAATGGCCTCCGCCGTTAGCACGCGAACCCTCAGCCGTGCCGCCTCTGGGTCGTAGTGCGTACTAAGTCTGAGTGTCCCGCCCTTTTGCAGGTTAATGGTGTGCTCACGCTGCAAAGGGTCAGATGCCAAGGCCCTCGAGCTGCTAGTCCTGCATTTGCGGAGTGCCGCAGAGGTAGGGCAACGCGTACGCCGGCGCTGCATGTTGGGGCTGTTGTCGGCAGAGCTGCAATCATCCGTGGAGAGGGAGCTGTGGCGGGCCAGGGAGCGCTTGGCACGAGATACCTCAAGACAGATGAGAAACACAAGTGTAAACTGGCAATACAGAGAAAGTTATTTCTTGGCCCATTTCTACAGCATGCAGTTAGCTAACGAACTATACCTACACCCAGAAAATGCATTTTCCTTTGATGCACTGGAAGCCTGTTAGTTTGTATGCGAGGTTTTGAGCTTGCTGGTGGCTCGCGCCACTCATCGCAGCATGTTAAGCCTCGCGATGACCCGGTGGGATATATTTCAAGCACCAGAGGATTCATTCTGATAACATGCACGAATGCATAGGCATGAGAATGTTGCTAAAGCTAGTGAAGTAGCATCAATTTTTGAGGGGTGTTTTCACACATTCAGCGGACACACCAACAACATTTGAGGGCAGAGAAAACGGCTTGATTTTTCATCAATTTGAAGCTTCATTTTATATTAATGGAGAGTTTGCCAGTCAAATTTGGCAGGATTGTTCATACTGCTCCACGTGGTGTGTCAAACTCCACTACTGTATTTTGTAACTTTGTGACTATGGAAAATGTTCCCATACTATGATTAAGCTCAATCATGGAAGAACTTAAACAAGTTATAAGATACCAGTTGAGGTACAGCCGTGTCTATTTCTGCCTGCATGTCAACTGCTTTAATTTCAAAAAGGAAAAGAAAAAAAAAAAAGGTCAACCCCTTGCCTTGGCTTGCGTCTCTTGTGTGATGGAGCGCAGGAGGGAGGCCGAGCGGGACAGCAGAGGAGAGTTAAAAGGGGACGAGTCCGCCGAGGAGCAGGTGTCACTCTCTCCGCCACTGAAGTAGCGGTAGGGGTTGGTGTTGGCTGGGGCTAGATGAGTCCCCACTTGGGAGCGCCTCTGGGAGATCGGGGAGGTGAGAGGGCTGCTGGGGTCGCTGTGGAACAGGCTCTCCTTGCGCCGGGTATGAGGAGACTCCACCAAGGTGGAAAAACCATAGGAGGTCTGGGCCTTAGGGACGTATGGCAGTGACATGGCGGTCTGTGACTGAGGATCTGCGTTGGTGTTGGCGTCCAAAGTCCCCGTGGCTGGCTCGTCTGCACTCTCTATTTGGATGATGTGACGGTTTGCTGACTTTTGGAGACTGCGTGTGTCCCCTCCGAAACGGGAAAAGAGGCGAGGGCTGCAGGGGTTTTTGCTGCTGCGAGCTCTGGGGCTCTGCACGCAGATGACATGATCGGAGGTGGAGGGTCGCAAGGCGGAGCAGTGCTGAGGCTTGGGGGTTGCTGATTCCTCTGGTGGGCAGCAGATGAGTTTTGGCGGGATGAAAAAATCAGGAATTTTTTCAGGGGTGAGCACATTGGCGTATACAGACACGGGAATGGCCTCGGTGGTCTGCGGGGGCTGAGATTGTGTTCCACTGCTCTCCATTTTGCTACGTAGCTTCTCCAGTAGCCACATGTCCACCAAGTCGTGTCAAACCACCAGATCTGCATTCACAAATCAGTCATTTTTTTCACAAAAGGAATGTCAGAGATCGTTAATGGAATTTGATTGTACAGTATAGCAAGGTGATTCAAAAGTAACCCTTATATTTTAAAAGTACTTGTATGCATTCTTATTTTGGTGTGTGATTTGTGTTTACCAACCTTTATTGAGCCAAGGCATCCATTTTGCATTCGAAAATGTCGCAGAACACCACCAAATAAAAATTTCACAAAAGGTACAGTAACTGAAAGAATAATCTTATCAACACTGAAAAAAATGGTGTTTTGAATTTACTCTTTTTTTTTTTTTTTGTCAAGTTGCTCAACATTCTCACTTACTGGGTAGATTTCTTCTTGCACCAAGGGTACATTTTGGCATTCATAGTATGGTAGAGGATGAATCTACCCATAATCCTATCCAAAGTTATCCCACACCACTCATTTAATGAATTATCAAATATAAAATGACAAACACACACACACACACACACATACAAAAAAGAGAAAACATTGAAATAAATGTTAAGTGGTTTAAAATATTCAGTTACTAATTAGAGGAAAGTAAATACAATCGCAAAATGCACCCCCCCCCCCAAAAAAAATCCTGAAAACTACAAGCTAATAATGCTTTCAACAACAATCAATGACTTCAAATGCACGGTTTGATATTTATACAGAAAAATGCTCTCGCAAATATACATTCCATCACACTCCCGACCATTTGATTACAACTTTTTTTTTTTTTTTTTTACGTGCAAGCAACGATACGAACAGCATCCGAATTCCTTTTCAACCCATTACGAACAAAGTAGAAGTTTCTTGAACAATTTTCGTTTTCACCAAACGTACCTGATGACTGCAGAACTTCTGGCTTTCTCAGAGCAGTCGAGAAGTGATGCGCACGAGCCGATCCTGGGTTGTTTGTGCGATTCAATATTCGTCTGCTTCAAGTGTGATCCAGAAGCGGTGGGGAAGGAAAGCAGCGAGATCAGGCGCCCGTTTTATAAAGATGAGCTGCGCTCAGCCAGCAGCCAATAGGGACCACTGGGGTTTAGCTAGTGTATTTATAAAGAGATCAAAATCTCTTTCAGCTTCCCAAGATATTGATCACAATCCAATTGAAAATCTTCTGCAAAGAATCTCACGGCGTCAGTTTGCAAGCTTCACGTCGCTGTGACTTCAGTTGGCTTTTGCGCTAAAGCCCGACTCCTTTTATTGTGTGTGGTGGTCATGTGAGGCAGTCACTCCCTGCACTGTGACTGTAACCGTTACAGTGTAACGCAACGCGTGGAGTGCGAAACACACCAGAGTCCTTCATTGCACTATTCGATGGTGCGCTAATGAGGTAGAGGGAAATATTGTTTGCAAGTATTTGTGAAACATTCATAATGGAAAACATAATAACAATGGAAATTTATGGTTTAAGTGGAAAAGTGCTGGTTCTTCTTATTCCACTGCTACCAGGTAAATTAGGCGGTGCGTAACAGCGGATCATTAATAAGATAGATAGATAGATAGATAGATAGATAGATAGATAGATAGATAGATAGATAGATAGATAGTCGTTCAGTGCAATTATTGGTGACAAATGAATCGCTTGCAAGATGAACTTGTGTCATCGTCACCCGCTTCATAACCTGTCCGGGATTGGATCAATTTTCGGTTCAGCAAACAATCAAATAAATAAACAAATAAATAAATAATTGTAAAAAGCCTGATAAATAAAAATATTTTTTTTCCCATTAGATTAAATACACATTCAACACAAAATGTCCGAGATATATAATAATATATTTGGGAACATACCTTTAAGTGCAATACTTAAAGATAATAATAAACAGTGACTTGTTTTCTCCGAATGACCTGCAGAAGTGTATCTTGCAGTACATTTTCCATTTGTTTGTGAACAGTAAATGTGCCATGAAGGCATTTCAGCAAAACAGACAGGGTTCAATAATCAATTCAGATTAAAGAAAACTACTAACAACCTTGTGAGCGACACTGAGTCGATATGCGAACTTGAAATCATCATCAAACCCCATCCTGAGATGACACCTTCAATGCAAAACCTGTTGCAGTGAGGGGCTGTGGATTCCAAATCTGTTGAATCCAAAGTGTGGGAAATCATGTGGATTGATACTGTATATTTGTTGTTTCTATCTTGATAAGTTTGTGTTTGATGAAAGCCAAAAACATGTCCAACGCACTGAGCCTTTTGCCAGGTGTTAAACGTGGAGGAGCAGCAATCTCGTAGGTGTCAACTGGAGCAGTCACCGCTTTGTTGTGTTTAAAGAATACAAACACGGCAGAGATTTTGTGTGTGTGTGTGTGTGTGTGTGTGTGTATACACACACACACACACACACACACACACCCACACAGAAAGAGAGAGAGAGAGAGTAAACACTATACTGCACATTCACTTTTCATTATACTGAATTACTGTAAATGTTATCGTTTAAATGTAAGTTTTGGAACCTTGAAGGCAAACACTTGAAAGAAACGGAAACATGTTTTGTGCCAAGCAGTAAAGGTAGATTTACGTCGACGAAATGACTCGCCCATCTATTTTTCCCTCTGAAAATAGAACAAAGTCCATTAGGGGTTAGTGAAGCCTCATTAGACAGTAGGATGAATCATCCTGTGCGCTCGCCATCTATTTAGCTTTCTGAACACTCATTTCGTTTCAAATTACGTCTAAATGTGAAAGTGTCAAGGCACTAACATTTGGCACATGCATGTGCATGTAAAATCGTTTGGGCAGAATGAAATTGAGTGCTGCAGGCGGACACCTCAGGAAAAGTGGTCCTCCTCAGATTTTGTGCTGGTAGGTCGATGCAGTATTCTCCAAAGCAACACCCTTGCTTCGATTCCAGCTCCCTTGTCCCCTCTCAGAACAAGCGAGGAGGTGGGGTAATAAAGAGGAGTGGCAGGCAGTAAAACAGGCCAAAATACCGATATCACGGGGTGAAGCAGACCAAGGGACTAATTACATACAAGGTGTCATTTAACCAAATGCGCGAAGTTAGAAATAAGTCTTTAGTAAATATTCAAGACATTAGATTTTATTTTTTAGTGTTTTGCTGAAAGGCCACAAACAGGCTTTGACTGAAAAAACACACAAACACGCACACACATACAAAAAAACAAGCCATCGTTGCATTTTAGGCATCAAGGGGAAGGGGACAGATGCTGCGGCACCAAACACCCCCACTTCTGCACATCCCCGTGACGCCAATGTATGTTTTAATTGGTTCAAAGTTGCTAAAATGCTGATAAATGAGGCATCCGACTGGAAGTCTTCCGATTCTTCCCACACACTCCTCAAACCAACGTGTTGAATAAATCATTGCAATTATTGCTCCATTTAAGTCTTTCCTCCAGTACACCACAAGTACCGCCAATATGTGCACATGGCCCAGCAAATGATGCAAAAAAATGGCCACTCTTTCATTTACAGAGTACTTTAAAGACAACCATCGCTGCATCCAAAGTGCTGTATGTCAAGTAAAAATCAGACATATAAAAACAAAGACAGCTAAAGCGGTAATACTCGCAGGCGTGAATTCTTTATCCTCTGTGGAGAATGAATAATATTACTGCAGCTTACTGTGCATTAATGACCTACTCCTGTATGTCTATATGATGCTGCACCTATGGTAGTTACACTAAGGCACACTCACACCAGAAGCAACACAATGACCATTGAATTGAAAACAACAACAACAAAATCTGCTTAATTCTTTACAATGTATGTAATTATTTCACTTATGTTAAACGCAGATTGCGAAATACGTGTTCGTTTACGAGCATGGTCATGATTGTTGCCTGTGTGCAGACTTGCAATCCACTGTCAAACAACATGATTATTTTTGCCCCTCCTCGTGTTAAATGGCTCAGTGTACAAGGAGAAAAAAAAAGAATTGTTCGAGTCCACCTACATGTTTGTGCAATGGCATCAGCCTTCATTAGTGAGTATTCACTCTGTGATCTTTGACGGATGAGGCTCTATACGGCAAAACCGTTCCCACATCACAGCTTCATCTATTATACAATGTAAGATTTTTTTTTTCCTCACTACGTGTATGGAATAAATGTAGCAAATACTTGCACTGTGCTCTTTCTTGTCAGGTATTTTAAAATAGCAACAGATGCTTGATTGAGTCACATCGATTTTTCGCTGCTATTTTTAGTCCATTTTAACTTTCAAACAGATGTTTATCTCATGTTTGTGCCCCGGTATGGTTTTTGACAAGTTAATCATTCATCTAGTTAAGGGACGGAGGTTACTTTTGGAATCTTGCAAGCAGTTGCTGGGCTTTCTTGACTGGCTGAATTATCTTATCATCTTGACTCTGTCATGTCAAGAAAGAACGCTACTTTGGTCAACGATTTAACGATGCAAGCTTTCATAGCCGAGTATAGGATCTTGAAACTTTATTCTCGGCAAACTTAAAAAGTGAAGTCAAACCGTTTGAGTCATATCTCGGCTGGAAGACGACTGCGAGGACAGAATAGTTGAGTCATGCACAAAAGCAGCAGGAGGATCGTGCTGATTTCGAAAGCGCTGCGGCGCTCTAATTTGGAGAATGTTGGAGATGAAAAATCTCCTGGTGGCAATTGGCTTTAAATTCATCCTGCACCGAGGACGGCAATTATCATGCACGATGTGACTCAGAATTTCTGTTGTTGAGGTCTCTGTTTAGAATAGGCAATGTGTTCATTTATAAAAGATGGGGTTTGCGCTGTTCTAAAAAAAAAAAAAAAAAGGCCACAAAACATTTTTTCCTCTAAAATCCAGTTGGAATGTCATACAGGTATTTATCATAAAATGTTTCTGGGCACTGCAAAAAGCCGAGCCAAAAACATGATTAACGTTTTCGAAATCAAACATATAGTGAAGAATGTCTTTAAATCGGACGTCGTGTCACGCACAAATCAAATCACACATCCCACACATAAACAACAAAGGGGGCGTGCATGCATGAGACTGATCCCCTTTGTTCATGTTACACAAAGATGAGGCGCTCATTCTGATGTGCGAGGTGGTCACCTCCTTTAAGCCTCAGCTGCATTTCATCATATGTTCTTCATTAGCTCGTTCAGGTTTTGTGTCACATAATAACATAGGAGGTGGGTGCGTCAAAGTAAAGCTCGCCCAGGCTGCCATGTTACTATTCGCCGGCGGCCGGGCTAATGTTGGGTGAAGTCACTGTTGTTTCAGCTAAATTAAGCTAAGCCTTTAACCGTTTCAGGTCATTTTGGGAAACAGCCTTGGTTTCATTTTTTCGCGTGGGAAGGGTAATGCAGAAAAAAAAAAAAAATCCGCAAAGTAAAATGAGGGCTACAGCCTACGAGTCTGTCCGTTTCATCCTTCGTTCATCCTCCCGCTCATGCGATCGAAAAACTACCGAGTGTATGTTTTTGTGTTTATCGAATAGCTTTGTATCACAGTGTTGACATATGGACGAAACATTTCCAACAATGGTGTTTCGTAAAATATCACAGTGTCTCTGCCTCGGCGACATATTTGTGAGATCTTGCGAAGAAAACTCGACAAACGTGCGCAGGCTGGCATCAGACTCATTCACCAGCTGCACTGAAATCCCCTTTAAGGCTCTTTAAGTCCATCACGCCATCTGGTCAGGGGGCCACCGGCAACCGAGGTAAACAGACATCAAGCGCACTCTCTGCTAAAGAGAGAGTAATTTCTGTGTCGGCCTTCAGGCTCGCGGTGAGACACCCGTTTGAGGATTAGCGCATATGCGGACCAAAAGAGCAGACGACTGGAGAGTACATAGAACAAGTAAACACGGCAGAACAGAATATTGGACAGATGGAGATGGGGTGAAGACAGTACAAGACGGAGGATGCAGAAATGAAGCATGGACCTGTACCATCTGTAAGACAGTTGGGATGAAACACAGTAGCTTATTGACGAGGCGGTAACGAGAACACCGAAAGGAGGAAAGTCTTTTGATTTCTCGTTTTCTTTCAACTCGCTGCAGTCAACACAGATATTTTCCAAAGTGGAGCATCCGTGGGGAACTCACTAAAACCACATGATGGCACGCACAAGAGAATGTTGTGAGCACTTCAAAAACTTTTTTTTTTTTTTTGTTACCCATTTAAAACCATTCTTTTTATCTCCATATTCTACCCACAAAATTAAGTCAAGAGAAGGTGCACAATTAGGTTCAGCTTTGAAGGAAG